TCCTTGGAGACAGAAGTCTCATGGACTTCCTGTGCGGGCTGGCTTCAAACCATGATCCTCCTATCTCAGCCTCCTGAGCAGCTGGGATTAGAGGCATCAGCTGCCAGTGTTTGGATAAAAACCATTTTTTTTTATTGATGCAGAAGCCGAGTTCCACATTCTCATCAGCTGTGTTTAAATTGTCACGCAATCTGTGAAAATCTGCCTCCTGAGGAGAGCATATGGAGTCCACAAAAGCCAGCTAATGTGCTTCATTGAATTGATGAAGTATTATAGATGTTTTTTTGTGGCGGGGAGGGATGTGGAAATGGGCTGTGTGATAGGGAAAAGAAAGCAAATCAAGCATCTGCCACCAAGTAGTGAATTTTATACATCCTGAGAGCTGAGCTCAACCGGGGTCTCTTCAGAACCACATTCCAGTGGGCACCAAGTCCCCCCTCAATGCACCTGCCTGTCTAGACTTTACCCCAGTCTGGAAATGAGTACACTTCCTTTCGTACAGTATCATTGGCTTCCGCATTCTCTCCCGTCCCTCCCTCCCGTCTTCACCCATGAGTTGTGGAGCTCACTTTCACCCGTGTCCTGGGAGCTCCACGCCGGTGCTTTTCCACCCTTTTGTCCCTGAGTTCTGTGCCCTGTGTTTCTCCCTTCCACCCGCCCCTCCCCGAAGATGCACACATGAATACACAGCATGTATAAAGACAGAAGCATCAAAAACTAAAAAAGAAAAAAAGCCTTGTTTCCATCTACCTCTTGGAAGTGTTTTCAGTGTATCATTTAATATCAATATGAAGACGTGCTTAGGCGTTTTGCGCCTTTGGAAGTCTCTCCTAAGAGCATCCTCTTTTGGTCTTCCTGTGTGTGTGTCTAGGATCCTGTGTAATTTGTCATTTCTTGGTACATTTCTGATCTAACTTCCGCATATCAGAAAGAACATGATGAATACACTTTTTTTTTTATGGTCAGTCATGGGACTTGAACTCTGGGCCTGGGCGCTGTCCCTCAGCTCAAGGCTAGCGCTCTACCACTTGAGCCACAGCGCCACTTCCTGAATACACTTTTGCCAGGCTGTCATGTGACTTGGTACCCAAGGGCTGTAGGCAAAGGTCCCTTGCTTCCTTCTCGGGAGTCTCACCTGTTCAGGTAGCAACACCTTCCCAACTGCATGCCGGAACTCTAACCAAGACGGAAAGCGAAAAGGAATCCTCTACACACTCCTGACTCTCCACCTCTGCTGGACACGGGAACTACCTGAGGTGATTTTTTTTAAGACACACACCTGTCATCCTAGCTACTCAGGAGGCTGAGAGCCGAGGATCACAGTTCAAAGCTGGCCAGGGCAGGAAAGTCCCTGTGAGACTCTTACCTCCAATAAACTGGTCAAGAAAAGCCAGAAGTGGTGCTGTGGCTCAAGTGGTAGAGCGCTAGCCTGGAGCACAAAGTGGCTATGGGACAGTGCCCAGGCCCTGAGCTCAAGCCCTAGGACTAGCAAAATAAAATCAAATGACATTAAAAAGAAAACGAGCCCTTTTTTTTAAGTCTTCGTAAGGCTCACAGAGGGTGACACTGATCAAGATTCGTTGCATGCTTCTACTACTTTGCTGGACGACAGCTCCCTTCATTCAGCTACTTAAGGGATGCCTGTCATCCCAGCGACTCAGGAGGCTGAGATCTGAGGATCAGGGTTCAAAGCCAGCCCTGGAAAGTCCATGAGACTCTGACCTCCAAGGAATCAGCACACAAAAAAAGCCAGAAGTGGTGCAGTGGCTCAAGTGGCAGAGCCTTGAGCTGAAGAGCTGAGGGACAGCGCCCAGGCCGTGAGTTCAAGCCCCACGGCCGACCAAAAATATATAAAATAAATAAAGCTCTCAGTGACCACGAAGCGACCTTCGAGAGCAGACAACACGGTGCACAGACTTAAAACACACGATGGAAAAGCAACTTTTGGGGGAGTGGGGTGGGAGGGAGGGATAGCCGGGGGAAAGACAGTGATGAAGGGTCACCGTCCAACCAACGGCTTTGCGTTAGTTTGGGGGGTGGTGAAGGGACGATCAGCTCAGGCCCCAGGCAGGATCCCACCCCTGGGGGCAGTGCAGGAGGCCTGCAGACCCAGCTAACCACAGGCCGCCTCCTGCCCCCCCACCCCGCATCCCTCCCCAGGCCGGATAACACCCCACACCACATCCCTCCCCAGGCTGGATCCCCCCCC